ATTAAGTGAAGTTATTTTCTCGAGTATTTTTAAGGTTATCTTGAGAATGTCACAATTATGAGTTATAATTAGTAATAGTAGCACAATGACTCAATTCCTGCTTTGACAATGACAAATTTGAAAATAAGTTTCTGATGGCTCCTTACAAATTATTTGAAAAGTAAATAAATTATATAGCTGACTGATTTAATCACCTCAATTTCTCTATAAAAAGTGTTGCTTTGATGTGTTTACAATTACAGGCATTAAGCATATAATACTTCACTTACCATCTTCAGCTTATTTACCTACCCTGAAAATGGCTCAACTGTCTCTTCCATCAAAAACTCAGCATGGCATCTTTCGTCCATTGGGAAATTTCCCCCCCAGTGTCTGGGGTTATAGCTTTGCTTCATCTTCACCACTTGAAGCTGTAAGTCGTTCTTTCTTGTCTATTTTTCATCGTTAAAAGAAATGACGTTTGTAGTAGAAACGACATTTTGTTTATTTATATTTTTGTTTTCACAGGAATTTGAATCATACACAAGAGAGGTGGAAGCACTAAAAGAAAATGTGAAGGACATGTTAAAGCAATCAGGAAGCACTAAAAGAAAATGTGAAGGACATGTTAAAGCAATCATTAGGAGAATTAATTGAGAATATTGAGTTCATCAACTTATTATATCGTCTTGGCGTTTCGTATCATTTTGAGGCTGAGATTGAAGAGCAACTGAGTCATATTTTCATTGCTCTTCCTAATATCATTAATGACAATAACCATGACCTCTATACTTCAGCACTTATATTTCAAGTTCTGAGACAGCATGGATATAAAATGCCATGCGGTAAGTAATTTATCGCGATTTTTATGCATTTTATATGTATAGTAACTTGCAGGATTGTAAATGAGTCAAGTTATGATAAGCTTTGTTAAGCTCGAATTTGGTTTATTAAAACTTTAGTTTTGCTCAAATCGAATTTAAAAAATCAAGTTCAATCTAAGTTCATTTTTTAAACAAGCTTGATAAGTAGACTCGAGCTCAATTTGTTAAATTTATCGAACAAGTTTTTTTTCTGGTGGAACTTCAGATAGTGTCAAAAAATAGAGAGGAGAGGCTGGTTTTCAATTTTCTTACAGAAATAAAAAGAAAAGGTTATAAACACAAAAGAAGAGATTGAGAGGAAAACATAAATTCAGTATTCATAGCCAACGATATACAAAGCATAAAAACAAAGTTTTTTTTCTTTTTCTTTTTCTTCATTCTCATGACTATCCATTTCTCTCCCTCTTCATTTTGCTCAAGACAAGTGTTAAAGGACAGCCTACATCGCATTCCCCTAACAAATATACTTTTTACCAATTCTTTACCAAACCCAAGAACTTAAGCTATTTTGTTCAAGTTAAGTGAAAAAGTGTCACTTCTCTAACAAATAGCTCACCTGCAGTTGGCTCATTTATAGTCCTAGTAATATGTTTAAAGTAAAAAAGAAGTATTAGTTTAAAAAGAAGTATTATATATATAATATATATATAACAAAAGAAGGCTAATATAATTACTATGAAGCAGACGTGTTCAAAAAAAATTTCCAAGGACCAACAATGGAGAATTCCCCAACAATGGAGAATTCAAGAAAAGCATAAGTGATGATGTGAAAGGCCTTCTTGGCTTATATGAAGCTACCTTTCTAAGTGTGCATGGAGAAGATATTTTAGATGAAGGTCTTGTTTTTACAAAGCGACGCCTAGAAATCTTAGCCGCACAATCGAGTCCTCATCTTGCAAACCGCATAAGGAATGCTTTACTGCGGCCATTCCATCAAGGCATAGAAAGAATAGAGACTCGCCAATACATATCATTTTATGCAGAAGAAGATTCTCCAAATCAAACTCTTCTCAAGTTTGCAAAGCTTGATTTTAATAGACTACAAATCTACAATTATTATCACAAACAAGAGTTTAGCTTTGGTTCTCAAGTAAAGTTAAATATCATCTTTCATAGTTAATTTCTTGACGAAAAATTAGTATATACTTACCCGATTAATTTATATCATCAGTGGTGGAAAGACTTAAATCCTGGTTGAAATCTCTTAAATTAAGAGACCAGAATTGTGGAGATATTATCCTTTGGCGGCAATTGAGCTCCATTTTGGAACCCGCATATGGCTCCTTGCTCGTGTGATGATAACCAAGTATACAAAATATGTATCCCAATTGGTAGCATGACACCATATGATTGCCATGATGGTACATTTGATGAACGCCAACCAGTTCCACAATTGCCGTTTTAAAGGTTGATGGACAAATAAGAAATAATGTTTCGATCAGGAATGTGATTTTCTAAGTCTAACAATCAATTTGTTCAATTTTCCAGATAATTTGATGCTACTTGATCAGCTACAGAATACATGAAAGTTCTTTATAGGCTGTGTGTGAATCTTTTTGAGACAGGAATGATTGAAGAGAAGGAAGATCAAGAGGAACAGCTAGCTAAAGAAACTGATATGATTACTATATACGCTTAATTGTAGGTTTGCTTAAATACATCCTAATTAATGAACTTTGGTTTGTATTTATTTAGTTCAAGAGAATTGATGAGAGAACTTTGTAGAAGCAAAGTGGTTTAATGAGGGGTATGTGACCATCGAAGGAGTACAATAACAATGGTTAGTGACGAGGCCTTACCATTGTAAATTCAGGCCCAGCTTCTTTAATGGAAATTGGAAAAGTTGTTGGAAGAAAGGGTACATGGCGGGTTAAAGAAAATCTAAAAATTTGATAGATAAAATGCTTTCAAGATAAAATATGATGGGTCCTGGAATGGAATGAACCAACCGGTGACTCAAATTGAATCCCGACACTCTTGCATCAGAACCAACTTCCAACAGATGCTGAACAAAGGAAAGCGCTACTGCCAAAAATGACATAATTCATAAAAACATTTCCTTAATCCTTCTTATTCCAGGAATTTATAACCGTTTGAATTTTAAACCAGAAAACTATTTAGCCACAGTAATCCACCTTAAATTATAAAAAAGGGATAATGAAAACAACTCTTTGCGGTTAAAAACTATCGGTACAAAGAATAATCATAACTTTTACCTTAAATTAAAGAAAATAATATAAATATCCTGAAGTCTGCCAAAGATTTCTGATAACTTATTTATATGAGTGTAGTTCCCAAAAGAGAGGAAACCACCCTGTGCTCCAGGTGTCCGGAAATGCTACATGAAAAGAGTATGGTTGTTTCAGGAATAAGAAAAGAACATTTTTGATTGAAGGCTCGTATTTGATTTGTTGGGTTATTAGATCTATGATGTATAGAATGGGTGTGTATAACATCTTGCTGGGAAAAAGGGAATAATTGTACGGATGGCCATGCCTATGAAGGCCCAACTGAATTATATTGTTGTGTGTCCATCTCTCATATCTATTAAACTTCGAGATTGGTTATTTATGGCTCTAAATCCTCTTGTATTTTCTGATGAGTCGGAACATAGAATTAAGGGTTGAGACAAAGGGTATTCGAGATTAATCCCTAACACGTAAATAACAAAAATAATCTCAAAAGAAATTGATCCACTCACATATGTACATATGGTTGTACTTGGTGGACTGACAGAAATGCTATAGTTAAATAGAAGTTGAAATTGAAATTTTGTTTTTTTATAAGGTGTGAGGGAGAATGGATGCCATATATTAAGATTTCCTAAAAATTAAAAAAAACAGAAGAATTTAAATTTTAGTGGACGGAGTTTAATCCTTCGTCTTATTCGACTATATTTCAACAAATTGGCTGTAAAATACTTAAAAAAGCTACGTATCGACTTTCTTGTTATAAATCTATGTATCTAAAAAAAATAATGGTTTTGTTAAGTAGAATCAATAATTTTCCTCACTTTCGTGGCTACTCTTTCTCCCGGTCTTCCTACCTATTCAACAAGTTATGTATTGTAACAGAGGAATAATGGGAATATGTCATGGGAATTGAGGGTTTGGAGAGACTTATATTAGAATACGGAAAAAACATAGTTAAAGTATTAGACAGAATTTATTAAATTGTATGTTTTCTTAGTTTATTTGTGATGTTCAGGTATTTATTATGTGGTCCATTTTATGAAGAATTAATAGCTTTACTTAAAGTTTAATTGAGGATTAAATTTAAAGCATGTAATTATATTATATGCGTGCCCCAATATTAGTACACTTAAAGGACAAAATCAATAAACTAATTATAATAACAACATCTATCCCTTTTTTAAATGTAATCTTAATTCAAAAGAAATAAATCAGAGAGAAAGAAACAATAAAAAAACACCCAAAAGATAATTAATAAAAAGAAAAAACACAATAAAATAAAAAAAACAAAAAGAAAAATTCAAGCATACGTAGAACACAGGGCAAAAATAACAATGTAAATATATAATAACCAGTCAATCTATAAAACTACTAACGAATGACTTCAACAAAATAAAAACAATAAAGTATAATCACCAAGGAAAAAGCTACTTTGTCCAATAACAATTACTCTATTAAAAGAAACACAATAAAAGTCTTTAACGAAAAAATGAATAAGTTAAAGAATGAGGTACACTTAAGTAAATATAATTCAGTCGTGATATAAATATCCGTATTAATGGGTATTATACTTCTAAGAGCTTATTAATGGTAGACAGGGTTCTCCGAAAGCAAGGTTGTTGGAATATCATATTTAAAGCTACAATTGGTCCTCTTAAATCGGAACTGCATGGTGTATGACAACAAAGGAGGGCTGGGTTGGGTAATACGGTACACACTCAGTCTATAATTATACCTTCCTAAAGGCGGAAGCCTGACCATGTGCCGTCTTCCACTTTTCGAAACCGTGATCCGGTTCCACGGCTTGTCAAGAAACAGGAGTGCTGGTTTGCGACCGCGCTTTGGTCTTCGTGTAGCCTTTCTAAAGGTAGCAACCCGAACAGTGTGCCAACTCAATAAGAAAATTGCAAATCTGAGCTTACTGCGATTTAAGTCCTCCATGAGGAATAATGGGCAAATGGGATCTTGAGTACCTTAGGAAGGGAGGGCCGACTTCGTCCACTCTTTCTCACTGACTATCTGTTTAAATTAAGCGAATCTCTCTTAAATAGCGTCTTGGGTGTTTGTGACATCACTCACATGATTTGGATGCTATTGGCTAAAAGCTTAATCCAACCTGCGTGATCTTCAACCCACACCCTACCGAATGGTTCAAATCCTATCTTTGTTCGTACTTGTCCTGCACCGAGATTGTTGGGTTTCTTTGATTCAAATCAATTTTTAGGTGCCTGGTAATGCGTGAGTTCGGTCTACGGTTTGATTTTGGTTGTGTTGTAAGTCTTCGTTTAGTTTATTTTTCTAATTTTTTAGCTTAATATTATCAAACTTAGTTGATTTCTAGCTTCTTAGTTTTAGTCTCACTCAATTCTTCATCTAACTTCTAATCTGCATAACTCTTTATAACGGCTTTAACCGCCTCCTCAATTTCATAGTACTATTTAATTTCATAAAATATCTACCAATAAGTTTCCCTTTAATTAAATCTTCATGAATTAAATTCATTATTTTCCAGTCATATCAAGTACATCTTCTTTATATTATATTATACTTATATTCTAAGCTCCACAATCTTCTTATCAATAATTTCATCTCCTCATCCAATTTTTTTTATTTCTTATCATTAAGTTTTTTATTGCCTTGCAATGACTTTGTATCTAATAATTTGATTTTAGGATTATTTAATTTATTATTTCTTTTTAAATTTTAATTTTTTTAAATTTTAATTTTCATTCCATGAATATCTATAAAACTCACTGTTTAATATTAAAATACAAAGTATTATAATTTTATATTTTAATCTTTAATAACTTGGTTATTAATTTAAAAACTTAACAACTTCTATTAAAAAATTATTAGATTTCTATCATGAACTAATCCACATGATATTTAATTTATTTGAGAAATGAATTTATATTATTTAATTCATGATTCATTTTATAGTTTTTAAAAAAAAGTTAATATGATTGAATTGATAATTTTTTTTTTTTTTTGAATTGATTGAATTTTTTTTTTTTTTTTGAATATGAATTGATTGAATTTTAAAATTACAATAAAATAATTATTTTCATTGTAATTTCTAGTATGTAAATTTTAGGAAATTTGTTTCTTTCCTATTGAAAGTCATTATGTATACTAGAAAAATCTCTATTAGTATTTGTCATTTATACTATTTTCATTAAAAAATTTTGACCATATATAATATATTTGTTTATGTAATTACACTAATTTTAGACTTTTTTTAATCAGGTTTATTTTTTATTCGTTGTGAAATGACAAATAAATTTTCGTCTCTCTATAAAAAAATTCTGGCTCCGTCACTGGTTAGAAGAACACTCTAATTAAAGATTACACGTGTATTTCCTCTCACAAATATAAGAGATTTAGTCAGAGAACGTCTTCAATACGGTTCCACATCAAGCACTTTTACTATATATATATATATATATATATATATATACTATAATATATAATATATATAAAATACTAAGTGTATAAATAAGCTGCACTGATTAAAATAATTCAAAATGAAAAGGTTTGACTCGAATCGAGTTCAAGGCGGCTCGATT